TTAAATCAAATATTGAACTATGTAGAATTCTAAAAGACAAAAAAGTATTCGTCTTAATATCTAACACGTTGAATTAAGTAACTACAATAGAAGCTTTTCGCGTTACCTTAAATCACCGTTTGATATTTATAGAGTTTATATATCATTTCAATGGTGAGAAACACTTCTTTTTTTCCCAAATAATCAAATATTTTCTTCTGTACTATTAGTTTTTGGTAGTAAATCAATGTCTGTTTGATATAAAGACTTAACAGATCCGTAAGATTTTCTATAAATATTATTTCATTTTCCTTTGCTAATTTGAATTTAGAAAGAATTTCAGAAAATTTGTGAATTCTAAATGATTTTTATTTGAAGACGAGGTTTTTTGACTCAATTATTAGTAAGATGATCAGAGCGCGAAAAATGAATCATACTTACAATTAATTTACTTATGACCCAGGTCGAACAGTCCGGCCTGGAAACGGCCGGTTCCGAGTAGTTCCGTGTATTTTGTGGAAGCAGTATTCCAGTTGGAAATTTTTCCGGTGATTTCCGATCAATTCGTGCCGGAAAGCACCGGAACTTGGCAGGAATTCGCCGGAAAAGTCCGGCCGTATTTTTGACCGGAATACTGCTTCCATGTTCCAGCGATTTCCCGTGTTTTCCTGTAGGATATGGTGACTTTCCCGCATATTCCCTGGAGTATCCTACGGGATCCGGTGGTCGGAATGTTCGACCTGGGGATGGCTGATCAATATACATTGCCCATATTACTCTTTAAATCGATATCATTTGCTTATGATTTCTGAATGATGTTTGAAATATTTCTTATTATTTATGATTGATTAGGAAAAAAACGTTAGTCCCATATATTTTCTCTCATTCGTCCTTTTAACTGAATAGAGAGCAAGTGTGCCTATCGAATTTTTTCTAAATGGAATGCTCTTCATTAAATTCTCTCATAAGATATATTGAAAATGAAGATTATTGTTTTTTTAAGTTAAGAGATTAGATAAAACAATTTTTAGTTTCTCAATAGTATTCTAAGGTGTTCATGTTTCAATAATCAGTTTCAAATATATGCACTATAGCAAACTATCAGAAAATATAATATATAAAATTATTGCTATATTTCGTCACGTCAAAGATTAATGAAAATTGTATTTCAACAAAATAATTCAGACTAAAATATTTGTTTCGCAACCAAATAACTAGAAAGGAATCGACATCAGTTCATGAATATTTTCTGTTTATACATATATGACGCATTCACTCTATACTTATGCAACTATAAAATCATTCATATAATATATTATAACGATGTAAAAGAAAATTTATTGAGAACATACCAAAAAATTAATTTTCTACGTTTTAACAATGCGTCGTCTACTTAATGAATATACAGGGGGTGGCAAAATTATAGGACCTCCTTCAGTCAACGCAAAAAAATTAACTTTTTATTTCAAGGAGAGGTAAATTCGTCTGGTGAATATCTGCGATAGACACATTGGTATATGTGATATACTAGTATGTCTTTATTCTTTGTTTTCTTCTTTTAAATGCGTGTAGAAATCGACAGGAAGAAAAAGTGCTGTGGCATAATTATAGGACCCCTTATGTATCTTTCTTTTCTTTTGTTTATTATAAAGTTTTCTTTTCAAAACACAAAAACACTAATAATGACTAGCGAAACCTCGACGTTTGATTACTTGACGGGTTTGTTTGGACATAGATTCAAACAGTTTTTGTATTGTATCATGTGAGAGTTCCATCCACGCCATCTTTAATGCAGTTTTTAGTTGTTCCGTGTTATTAATATTATATTTTAAAAGTTTATCATCTAAGATGGATCAAATTTTCTCTATTAAATTTAAGTCTGCACTATTTGCTGGCCATGGAATGGGATTAATCTTTTTTTCCTTGAAATATTTTCGAGTCTTGATTGATACATGAGGACGAGCATTATCTTGCTGCAGCAAAATTTTACGAGGCGATTGTGGCAAGAATTTTTCATATGCTGTTGATAAATGCTGGTCGAGTATATCAATATATTTATCGGAATTTAGCGACCCATCATAGAATACAATCGACCCTAGACCATGACATGTTAGATAAGACCATGTACCAACACCACCACCTTTGTGCACCCACGGTTGAGACCGTTCAAATCGTTTTAAGTCATTTCGAAATCGACGTATATAAATCCGATTCTTTCGATTCAATATTTCGAAATTACTTTCATCCGTAAATATAACATTTGATCATTCATTTTCTGCCCAACTCAAATGTTGGTAGCACCATTGAAGACGAGAATATCGTTGTCTATGATTTATCCGAGGTTTCCTCGGTGCAACATAAGAAAACATGTCGAATTCATTGAGAATACGACTCACTGTTCGACGACTGACAGTTATGTTGAAACTTGTTTGAACGTAGCGAATAAGATCGTTTAACGAGAGAGTATCATCACGAACTTGCTGTAATTTAATGGCTCGTTTTTACCGATCTGTTAACTTTGAACGACGTCCAGCTCCAGGTTTCGTAGCGACTGTGTGAAGTTTATTGAAGTTGTTAATAGTTTGATAAATGCAATTCCGAGAGATGTTCAGTTTTCGAGAAATCTCATGTTGTGACATTACACTGGCACGCAAAAGAATAATGGTTCGTTTTGCAGTAATATCAACAGCCTTTCGTCGCATCGTTTGTTTAATGAAATCGTGCAGAGTTTATTATAGTGAATAGATAGCACGAAAGTTGATTTTAAATGAAAACGAGAGAAGAAAAGGAAAAAATAAGAGGGGTCCTATAATTATGCCACAGCACTTTTTTCTTCCTGTCGATTTCTACACGCATTTAAAAGAAGAAGAAAACAAAGAATAAAGACATACTAGTATATCACATATACCAATGTGTCTATCGCAGATATTCACCAGACGAACTTACCTCTTCTTGAAATAAAAAGTTAATTTTTTTGCGTTGACTGAAGGGGGTCCTATAATTTTGTCACCCCCTGTATATATTTCTAGTACTTTTATAAAATTGTTGATCAATCTTTTAAATCTTTGTAAGTACATGTGTTAAAAATAGCACATATTTGTCTGGAGAGGTGTATGGGGTGTGAGTCGTAAGAAATTCTATTAGGAGATGTAGATGCAAAGTGCATGAAATCATAAATACGGCGTTTTTACTACATTTTAAGTTCAATTGAACGTGCCTCACAAAGAGTTCTATGTCGAGCGTCTTCAGATGATTTTCTAAATCGCATTTTTCTTCAAACACGGTGATCATTGAAGAATAGCTATCTATATAATACTTGGATACGATTCAGGACGTGATTTCATTTTCATATTAAACGAACGGTCATAAAATGTCGACCTTTCGTCAAACCAGCCGAGAGCAACATTGGTACGAATGATATTCATCACAAAGCACTCGAAATCGAATTATGATACTCGTGAATAGTGTTTTACTTAGTCTCAAAGGATTATTACCTCAGCCAGAAAATCAGACAAAAGATCGTAAAAAGTCTCTTAAGATCTTGTACGTACAAGATTTTCTATCTGATCTTATGATAGGATCTCAATCGCTTTACTTTTTGTGATAAGAACAGTATCTTTTTGATAGAGTACGTTTGAATGTTTAAGACAAATCAATCAAAAATATTATATTTCCAGAGACTCATAACTGTTTCGAAATCATATAAACCACTCGAGTGTTTTAAAAAATGCATATGAAACATTTCGTGCCTTTTAACGCTTTGAAAGGGAAAATTTTGTGCGAATGAACACGTTTCTAGTGCATTTCTAATTACAGCGAATGCATCACAAGTGATACTTTAATGTGAGCATTCCATTGCATATTACTTCATTTTTCTATCACTCTACCTTTCATGGTCTAGCTATGAATGAGATAATAAATTCAGCCTATTCAAAAAACAATTTGCTAATCGTAGCTATATGATCAACATCTGAAGTTTGTTTTTACGTAACTTTCAAGCTACAAAGAGGAACTCACGTTATATCCTTTAGGCTCACGAAGCGGAGATCTTTCGTAAAAGTCTAACTTACTTCTAAGATTTGTAATTAGGACATAACCAATTTACAGTGAACGATGATGAACGTGCTTTTAATTCCTGATATATGTCACGAGAAGTCGCAAAAAATCTCACCATCAGACGTACACTTGCCGTTTTCTACGAAAATATGTATGATTTTCACAAAAAAGAAAAGATGACTATTCTAAATTCATAAATCGATGAGGCAGATCATTATTTTGATCACAGATTACGTTGAATAACAACTAACGTGCATAATAATTTTTCACTTATCGTATCATATCTTACTTTGATGAGTCTACAGAGTAAATGTACGAGTTGCCAATCTTAAACCTACAAGAGGCCATGCTAAAGTTTTTTTTTTATGGCAATAACTTTTCATCTCTGGTTTCTTACTAGTCAGTTGTGAATATCAGACACGTTAATATGATTGCTAATAGTATAATGTGAAACTGCCTAATCCAAATGTAAATTATACAATATGGACGACTTTGACAATAGTCTTGGAGCAGTGCTGTGTTCAGCACCAGTAATACAGATGGGATTATCAATAGGAAAGCTAAATCCTTCGTAGTCTAATGTAAATTAAACAACTGACACGCACACCACTTGCTCGCTTGAGTGTTATTAATGAAGTTTTGGTGTTTATTCCTTCGCGAAGTTTTTTCAAAAACAAAACTCTTTTTAGTCGAGCATGCTGAAAAAATCTTCTACTAGCGAAACCTATCTTTGAATCAAAAAATCACAGAAGTTCTCCTCATGATATATTCTGCAAGGTACACTTGTTATGTTTATTACTCAAGGCTCTGCAATAAAAAGGTCAATATTCTACTCTAATTTTTCTTCAACTTCTCTTATCCTTATCTTCACTCATCTCAGAGCTCACATTGAAAATATAAAATACTTGCCTCAAAAGAAAATGATGTGTCTTGTTGTAGTTCGGTTATCACACTAGTAAAGAATGTATGATCCGGGCAGTCGTTTTTTCGATGAGTTAGAGTTGCACTACAGTGATGAAATTTTTTTCTTTCTTGGCCACTTAGACAACACTTGCAAGCAGAATAAATATCAACATCTTGATTTGTGTTACAGCACGGATATCAGTGGGTTGTCTCAGTGTTGGTATGAGCCTGTGTTTTTCATTCATTCAGACCCTTTCGTCCTTTTGTCTATTGTTCCTCTTTCGCAATTATTTGTTAAGCTTGTCTACGGTTGATCTATCTTGAGAACAGCAATGAGTATAGGATTCAAAGTCAAATACTCACTCGAGTATAAAAAAAGTTTCTTTGAAATTTTATGAAAAATGAGTAATACATGAAATATGATGAGGCACGCAGAAATGATTTTTTGTCTAATTTAGATTGCTGTTTAACCTTGTCCTATGGCTGACTCAAAAGAAAAAATGATTCTAATTGAAACGCCTATTGGTAAATTCAATGTATGGACAAAACGTATCGGTAGTAATCCGCAAATCAAACTCTTGCTGTTACATGGTGGCCCAGGTGGAACGCATGAATTTTTTGAATGTTTCGAAAGTTTTCTTTCTAATGAAGGAATTGAATTTTATTACTATGATCAACTTGGGTCGTTTTTCAGTGACGCCCCCAGTGACACCAGTTTATGGACAGTTGAGCGTTTTGTAGATGAAGTGGAACAAGTCAGAAAAGGGCTGGAACTAAATAAAGATAATTTTTATTTATTGGGACATAGTTGGGGCGGTATATTGGCATTAGAATATGCATTTTCCTACCAGAGCAACTTAAAAGGTTTGATTATAAGTAACATGATGAGTAGTGCCTCAGATTATGTGAAGTATGCTGAAAATGTGTTAGCCAAAGGATTAGATCCGAAAGTTCTGAAAGCTATCAAGGACTTAGAAGAAAATAATGATTGCCAAAATCCAAAATATATGGAACTGCTAACGCCGAACTTTTACTACAAACATGTATGTCGGTTACAACCTTGGCCAGAAGTCATTAATCGTGCTTTTTCACATTTGAACAATGATATTTATACTCTGATGCAAGGCCCATCAGAGTTTGGACTGTCCGGATTATTGAAAGACTGGGATCGAAAAGGTGATTTATCGAAAATACAAGTACCAACATTGATGATTGGCGCCACATTCGACACAATGGATCCAGAACATATGCAATGGATGGCTACACAAGTGAAGCAAGGTTCAGTTTTAATATGTCCCAAAGGTAGTCATTGTTCAATGTGGGATGATCAAGAATACTATTTCGCTGGACTTATAAAATTTATCAAAAATGTGAATAACAATGAAAAATGTGACTCTCCGGTTTCAGTTTAATACAAATATAAAACACATGCTCTGAATAACTTTTTAAAAGTAATTAGATGAACATAAAACTGTTCTCGTGCAGGGTGTATACGTCTTTGTTCTCCTCGATACCTACACCCACACCCTTTTCCACATTTGAAATCATTGTACTCAGAAATAATAAAATATCCCGACAGCTTCACTACGATCATTTTGGACTATGATCATATATATATATAAGCATCATACTTTTCCCCATCTGCCATCATATACTATTATTTACGATCACGTTTTGTTTCAATCTCAGACGCTTCGTACTATACATTTCAGCAAGTTCAGTAAGATATTTATTATAGAATTCTAACTACAAGTCTTAATTGAATATCACCATTTTTTTTTGTTGTATATTTTATATAAATATATGATAACCGAGCTACATGCAATACTATGGCAAAAAAAAGTTAATGTTATGAGGTAGTGGCAAACAGGTTAATGTGGCACATAATGCATTGTAAAAAGATCGTTTTGGATCCAGAAGAATTTGTTCAAAGCTAGAACTGCATCACTTTTTGTCTTGTCATCTAAACCGAGATCATGGTTCAAAAGGGCATCAATGAGAATATGTTCCGATAAGCCGAGTGTTGCATTCATGTGTACATAGCTGACATCAATATTTTTCGAGTCAGCTTTGTTTGCATGTACTTTACCAAGGTGTGACAGATATCCGAGAAATCCATCGTCCCATTCCGCTTGTGTCAGAACTTTTTTCAAGTATTTGTCCAAACTTTCTTTGAGAGCAGCAATTCGTTCTGCAGTCAAATTGAGACTGTCTGGAGGATCTGCAGTAGCTCCTTGGAAGTTCACCTTATTCTTGGCGAATACACTTTTGGTGACGTCAAACGAAAACAGCTTATTGTAAATGGCATCGACCGCTGTTGGTACCAGTGGAACCAGTTTTGGTGCAACCGTATTGAGCAAATGAATGTCGGTTGTCGTGAAATTGAGAAATTTCGCTACATAGTCGAATCGATATCGAAGATCTGTATTCAGTTTAGCAGCATCAATATGGTCCATCATTCGTCTTTCTGACTAGCTAGCGATCAGTCGCATTTTAGTTTTCCGTATTCTGCACTTAGTGCCCCCGTTCTTTTCTGCTCTTCTTTTTTCTCTATTTTTCTTAAAAACACCTCTTTTTGAGCCTTTTTTCGAGAATTTTTTCTTCCGTGTCTGAGTCAGTGCTCACAGACAGTTTTTNTAGAGAAAAGACAACAACTAGTGGCATTCGGTTAGGGAAAAACAAAACGAAAAGAGGAGAAAACAAATAGCCGTTTTTGCATCATAGTTACGCCCAAGAAAGAGCGAAAGATAAACAGTAGTGCGACGCATCATCAGCGTCAAACAAAGAAGAATATACTGAAACCGTGAGTAAGAAATGGGTGATTCTTTCAAAATTTACATAAAATAAAAGAAGAGAGACGCATGATATGATCGATGCACATATAAATAAAACAAGATTCGTTTGGAAAAATACTTGCCCCTGCACGCTTAGAAGAAAAAATATTTTTCCAAAAATTTCCCCTGATACTTAGGTTTGCAAAATTTTCCCCACACGGCCGTACGCGCACACGGGTAGATTCTGCACCGCTGCCCACAAGTGTAAAAAAAACATTCTACTAAACGAAGAAGACTAACTGCATAGATGTACGATTGTTTAAAGTTTCGCGAGGTCGTTTAATTTTTTAGTTGTTCTTTTCATTAACTATAGCAAATGAAATAACGCCTTCTAACGAAGTGTCATTAACGACATTGAATTCGAAGGCTGGTCAAATGCCATTTATGGTAGTTCCATTAACGAGAAACGATTGAATACTCTTAAAATATGTATGTTTTATGCGCCGAGTGAAAGAGAATGCAATTCTTCTGACCAAAAGAAGAAAGAAAAAAGGAAGCAAACATTCACATTCGTATCATCCTGGCAGTGGATGAGAGGCAATCAAGACAGAAGGAGAACGGGTAATGCCTTTTCAGTGACGCTATATAATGGACTTTCAATGTCGATTCGAAATTGCATGTTCTACAAAAATGAAAGAGACTAGATCATTGTCATACGGATCATATATTGCTTTCTGTTCTCGTTGTTGTCGGATCTATAAAATGTTCAAGTTTTGTATTTAAAAGGCCAAGAAATAACGTTGAAAAATGTAATCACAATTGACACTGACGATTTCTGAAATCTGAAATTAAAAGATCTTGAACTTAATCAGTTCATTGATACTTCGCTTCGATCATAATTTATTTTTATGACAGCCTTGTTTCACAAAGTTCAGAGTACAAAAACATACATATTTTCTTTACAGTTGCATCCATTTGATCAGTTCAACGCCGATCAAATTGAAAAATGGTCATATGAGGTGAGTTTTTTCACGCATAGCAACCATTTTATTTGCCACATAAAATTTCCATAATAACATGCGAAATTCAAAGTGCGCAATATGAAACAAATTTCAATAGCAACGGGCAACTAGAATATTCTCTTGCAAATGCAAGCATCAAGGGTAAACATTTTGAGTGCCTTGCAGTTTGGTCAAATGAGAACGAAAAATGGTATAAAAGGCGGAATGAAATATGTCTACGCACATACATTAATTATAGAGCATTTAAAAAGCAAATGTAAGTCGAATTTCTTTCAGCAGAGACTAGAATATATTCTTTCATATCTTTCTGATGCTAGCTAAACTGCATGACCTATCGTTCTGCATATATTTATGCAGTTTTATCAACATTTAGCTTCGCGTGTGTAGTTACATATAAAATGAACGTTCAAAGACAATACACTTGGGTTTCTTCCCGGAATAAGTTTCGATCAGTAGTTAGTTGAGAATAAATGTAGAGATTGACAATTGATGATGATCTCTCTTTAGATGGTTTCATCGACTAGGACTAGGTTCACATTACATCTAAAAAGTACATCGCATAATACTATACATAATACACGCTTCTCTCTTGTGTGCTCGTATTTTGTATGTAAGGAAATTATTACTTTCAACGAATGAATTTGGGCTCAATCGCATTGCATTCATAGGTAGTGACTCTGAATGCGTGACAACGTTTTATTACATGATTGGCGATTACAAATCACTAGAATAGTACGGAAACATTGCGACTACTTTCTTATTACAGTTCTAGAGAATTAAGTAAATAGTGATGAATAAACGAGCCTCAAAGTGTGTTGAAAAAAATCTTTGTTAGTGTGACTGATGACAGCAGCTGCATCGTGATTCAGTAACATCTGTTTTGGATTGTGTAGAAATATTTTTCCAAGCAATCGCGATTTTCGTGGTGTAATGAAGGTATAGTGAGATATATGTGGAAGAATCAGTTTTATTTCATCGCAGCTCAAAATTTTAGAACACGTTCAAACTAATGATCTCAATATTACTAAAATTGAGACAAATCTCATGATGACTTTTCAGCCTTTCGGAAGTATCGATGTGTTCTGAAAATCGTGCGATAGTTTTTTAGGCTCAAAGTGTTCATCTTGTACATGAATCGACTTTGGCATCCTGTTTAGAACATATAATAAACTGTTGAGCGTCAACAAAATAGAAATGAGCCTCGCATAGATGCCTCGTTACACTGTCATTACACCACAGAATTGATTTTATCAAAAACCTCTTTTACGGATTCAAAAAAAAACATACGTTTATTTCAAGTGATTCTAAAGCAAACAATAGTCGTCTGGAGTGTAAATATGTTGTGTCTCTAGTGTCTGAATAAAAAGAAAAAAATAGCGAAGAATACTTTGATTTTCTATAAAATGTAAAGAAAAATTGTTCTAAAGGACAGTTTGCTTTGAGTATTATCTTCACCTGTTTTGAGTAAGTTAGGGTATCGAAAAATAAACATTAGCTAGAAAGTAACATAAACTTTCCGTACATACATTTCTGCTCTTTATTCTTCGATGAAACCGAAAAGACACCACCCTCGAAGCTATTTATATTTTAAAAAGTTAACAGCTTCTTATGTGTGACCGATTTCCGATATAATTGCGGGAGGTTCTTTTCTCTTTGCCAGTTTAATTTATCTCATATGTTGCCTGTCGTTGCAGAAGCATTTTACTGTTGTCACTTGAAAAAATTGTTTATTGAGAAGAAAATTCACCATGGACCATATTATTTTTTTTTTTTTTTGGTAACAACGCTTTTATTGATGGAAAATTGACAATACTTGTACATAACAGAAAAAGCAAAACATAAACAAAACAACGTACATTATTGTCAAAAAAGCTGGAAGAGAGAAAGAAAAGAAACAAAGTGAGACACATGACATTAGTCTTTTATCTCGGAGTTTGGTTTGGTCGTTTAATCTTGTTTTGTAAGATGTGGTGATACTGTGGTATTGTATTGGTGGGTATCACATTGAATGGCCTTCATTGTATTATCGTTGTTCCATAATACCAATGCAACTAAACGCTAGGAAACAGATATGGCTGAGTGGAGAAAAACGAGTCAGAAAATAGATTGACTCATCTTCATACATAATATGGAGATGGAGGACAACCCAGGAAAAATACAAAAAATAGGAGAAAATAGGTGAAAATAGCAAAAAATAGGAAAATAAATGAAAATAAACCAGAATGGCTGAGTGGAAAAAAAGGAGTCAGCAAATAGATTGACTCATCTTCATACGTAATATGAAGAATAAGTAACAAAAACGAAAATGGCTTAGTGAAAGAATACTAGACAGCTAATAGATTGACTCATCTTCATACATAATATGAAGATGGAGGAAAGAGAACGAAAATAGCTGAACAGAAAAACTAGTCAGCAAATAAGTTGTCTCATTTCTCGCTATATATGAAAAAACTCTACGTATGCGAGTCCGATATAACTTTTTTCGTACAGATTCGGTTGACCCAACAATAGTCAAGTTTCTCGAGGATGATATTGTAGTAGTAGGTTGGTGGATTTTTCATAAAATTTTTTCGAGTATGTCTTGAAGATGTTTCTTCGATGTAATGTCATTATTTGTTGTTGCTGTTTGGATGGACTGTTTTAGTAATGTTGTTGCATAATCTTTGATTTTTGGAATATTACTAATTTTGTGGATGTATTCGACTGACGTGTACATAGGTAGACCTAGTGCAGCTCGAAGTGCTTTATTCTGAATGATCTGTATTCGGTTCCATACATTTCGATCAGCAGTTAATAGTACCGGGTAACCATATATAATGATTGTGCGCGCTATTGACTTGAAGATGTTGATCATTGTTCTGCTGTTGGGCTCGTATGCTGTTCTCGATAAATAACGAAGTAGACCGATCCGTGGAGCAATCTTGGTTTCGATATGATCGAGATGTCGTCGCCAGTTTAATTGTTTGTCTATAATGACACCCAAGTATCTTGTATGATCCAGTGGCTTAATAATTGTATTATCAACTTTAACTTCCACTGGATGTTTATACTTCTTCCTTGGATGAATGGTGAAGTGGATCATTTCTGTTTTAGTTGGTTGCAATTTTAATTTCCATGACTTGCACCAACTTTCGAATGCATCTACGGATTGTTGTAGCCTGGATGATAAATATGTCATGGTATTCGATGACGTCCAGAGTGCTGTATCGTCGGCGAATAATCCATGCTCGGTGTGAGTCGGTATATCATTCATCGAATCTGCCGTATATATAATATATAGTATCGGTGATAGTGGAGATCCTTGTGGTGTACCGCTCTTTAAGTTGAATTGTCTGGATAGGACATTTTCGATTTCGATTGAGGCGGTTCGATTTTTAAGAAATGATGTTAGGTAGTTGATGATGTACTTCGGAAGTCGAAGATCATTTAATTTATATATCAGGCCGTCATGCCATACTGAATCGAATGCGGCTTTTATATCGAATAGAATTACCGCTGAGTGTCTTCGAGCAGATCGAAGTCGATCGTGAGCGTATCGTTCTAATCGCAGGATGTTGTACATTGTACTTTTTCCTGGTCTAAAGCCGGCTTGATGTTCTGGTAAGATGTTTTTCCGTTCGAGTTCAAGCATTAATCGTTGTTTGACTATTTTCTCCAATAGTTTGCCTAAGCAACTAAGGAGACTAATCGGTCGATAACTAGATGGATGTTGCTTGTCTTTCTTCGGTTTGAGGATAAGTATGATGTTGGCCGTTTTCCAATTTGTTGGAATATAACCTTGCTTCAGAATTTGATTGAACAGCTTAGTTAAATGCTGAATAAGTAATTCTGAAGAATTTTTTAAACACCTATTATGTATGTTGTCTGGCCCAGCGGAGCTATTACGAAGTTGTTTGATATGATGTTTAACTTCTTCTATTGTAATTTGCTTCCACTTGGGTGTGTTTAACGAGGTTATTCTTTTGTTCTTTAAGTTGTTTGCTTGGGTTGTTACTTGATCATGGAATGGCAGTGTATCATCAGTGTAAGAGTAGACATCTTTTTCGAAGTAATCCGCAAATAAGTCTGCTTTTTCTTTATCTGATGTTGCTGTCGTGTTGTTGTAGGTCATGCTGCTTGTGAAAGTTTGCTTGATCCTTTTGCAATGGAACTTACGAACTGTAAGCCAAACCTTGTCTGAATACATCTTTTTATGACATAAGGATGACATTAACTTGTTAATGTTGTCTCTTCTGTCATTTCTAAGTGAGTTGGTTAATAAGATTTTGGAGTTGTAATATTGACGTTTGTCTATATTGTCTCCGGTCCTCTTCCATCTTCGGTATGTTTGATGTTTCATTGTAATCAAGCTCTTCGATGCTTCACTTAATGCATAGCTTTTACTTGTTGGTGTAGATGTTGGAACAGCTTCGTGAGTTGCTAACATTATACTGTTGGTAATGAACGTTGAATGTTCTTCTATGTTTAATGCTGCATTTGCACTTGTATCATTATTCCATAGCATTAGTTGTTGATCTAACTTGGATCTGAACTTTGTCCACTTTGCTGCTTTGAAATTAAGTGATAATCTTGGAGAAGTTGGTTTTGGTTCAGCTCCGATTTGAATATCGAATGTTAATGGTTTGTGTCCATTTATTGTGCCGATGGTTGGGTGTGCTTCAACATTTGTTATGAATGATAGGAGTGGTTGACTTCCTAGAATCCAATCTAATTTGGCTTCATATTCATTTTTTTCAAATGTTGTACTATCATCGTCGACACAATCGATAATACCTTCATTTAGTAGTTCTTGCAGCTGTTTTCCTCTTGCATTTGTTTTTGTTGATCCCATTTCAGATAATGTTGCGTTGAGATCACCTACGATAATGCAGTTGTTGTTGATGTTGTATAATTCTTCGAAGATATTGATATCGATCTTAGCTGTTGGTGCAACATAGATTGAAGATATCAATATCGATTTGTATAATAGCGTTTCAATTTGAACTGCTATTATTTCGTTCTTGTATGATGTTTTGTTGATAATTTCTCGACATTTAATGTGTTCTTTGACTGCTAATAATACTCCACCACCAGGTTTTCCTACTCGGTCATTTCTGAAGATGTTGTAACCCAAGAGAGAGAACGGTCGTTCACTCTTCAGATTAGTTTCATTTACAGAGATGACGTCATAATTGGAGAATCTGGCTAGGAGTTCAACTTTGTGTTTTGTAATTGAGTTGATATTAACGTGACAGATACTAATCATTGATCGTGTCTGTTTTACGATCTTTGGTGTCCATTATCGTCGAGTCCTGTGAACTGTCGAGTGGTCGAATTCTTTTTGATGATTTTGCTGTTGGCTTTGGTTTAGGTGTTGGTTTTTTAATACTATCATTGGTAGTGATAGATGATTGTGTCGGTGTTACAGTTGTAATTGCGGTCATTGTTGGTTTTGCTGTTGTTGCAGCAGATGTAGTGGTTGGTTTAGGTGTTGGTTTATTTGGTTTGGTGGTTGATGTTGCAGGTTGTTTTTTGTTTTTTGGCTTCACTATTTGAACATCGTCATCACTATCCGAAATTGATGATGATGATGATGATAATGATGATGTTGCATCTTCGTTGATTAAGGTTTCAACTGATGAAATAGTTTCTTCGATTTTTTTAATCTTCTGTTGTAGAGATTTAAATAATCTTTTTGTTGTTTCTTCGATGATTTTTTCCATCTTACTGGTAAGTAGATTGATAAGTTCATCGAGGATATCATTTTGTAGTAGACCTTGTTGACGTTGATACACGTTTGGTAATGAAGGAAATTCATTGCTATCATGTAGTAATGGTGATGTGGTTGTTGGGCTGCTAGTGGACGAATATTGATTAATTAAATTCAACATTCGCTTTTCTTGTTCTAAAAAGTTAGGACAATCATTAGCAGTTGCCAAGTGTTTACCTTTACAATTGTTGCATTTAATTGCATCAATTGCAGCAGTGCATTGCTCAATACGATGGTTATCACCGCATTTAGCACATATTTGCTGTTTAGTTTTGCAGTACTTTGCTACATGATTGTATTGAAGACAGATGTAACATTGTACTGGCTTTTTATTTTGAGATGCAGCTTCAGCATTAAAGTGCATCGAATCCACTTGTAATCCAGTGTGGATGAATGTGTTTCGATTGTTTGCATCTTTAAATGTGATTTTAATGGTGCTTGTTGGTGCATTTCCATCTTTTCGGGTTAATCGAATAACATTGATAACATCGAGACCAACTTTCGTTAGTGATTCGGTTATTCGATTTTCCGGTATTTCCAGGTCGACTCTCTTTACGAAAGCGACCATTTCTGTGTCCTTGATTCGTTGAATCGATCGAGGAACGAATATTTTTGCTGCTTGTTGGCCGTTAGCTGCAAGGATTATTGTGAATTCATTTAACAGGCGGTTAAATGAGCTGACATCACTTGCATATAATGTAAATAATCCAGCGCGACTAAGTTGTATGTCGTGGATTTTAACATCATTTAAATGTTCTTTTAATAGATCATTAAGTTGGAGTTTGGTGATCTTGACTCCCTCTATAATGAGGGGGGCGATGGTTAATTTTGATTGGCTGGTTTTTGATTGGCTGGAAGTTCCAACCAATGATGGTCGTCCGACTTGTGAATGACCATTTTTATCAGCTGTTGTATAATTTTGGTTGTTTTGTTTGTCGAGGATTTGGTTCCGCTGCTTACCACCGGCAACCCCACCTCCTCTTTTCGGCGGCATTTCCGAAAACCACCTAAAAACTGTCTGTGAGCACTGACTCAGACACGGAAGAAAAAATTCTCGAAAAAAGGCTCAAAAGGAGGTGTTTTTAAGAAAAATAGAGAAAAAAGAAGAGCAGAAAAGAACGGGGGCACTAAGTGCAGAATACGGAAAACTAAAATGCGACTGATCGCTAGCTAGTCAGAAAGACGAATGGAGAAAAATATTAGAAGTAGCAAAGGATGGATTTAAAGAACTTGAAATGCTTCAGTATCTTACTGTATGTTTTCAAATGAATATGATATCACCTACTGTACAAGAAAAGTTAGTCGAATTCAATAAAGGATTACCAGCACAATCGTATCCAGGTAGCTATCTAAAGGTACTAATGGAAACTATCCCAACAGTAGAAAAAAGCACCAGTCAACAGCTTCAAAAATTTTTAAGATCAGTCAAATATCTTGAATCGGATTATTTGTTTCTAGAAACTCAACTCTTGTCGTTAATCAATTTTTATTTAAAACCAATAGAAATAAATACCAACAAACTAGGAAATCGATCGGTAGTTGAGATCTTTGGTGGAATCATTTATATGTCAAAAATTGTACCGAAAATTGAACAAATCCTGCAGGATGAAGGACGTGAGAAACGAATTGATGAAGTCCGATTTATTGCTTTGTGTATGTTAGATATTGATTATGATTTAAAAAATTCTCATTGGCACGGATTCAATATATTTGTGATGGCTGCCAAAGTTAATGTATCCACGAAGTGTGAATGGAATCTATCCGGTGTGAGTTCTCGAAAACATTATGAAAAAGCTTCAAGTGGTAGTTCATGTGGTGATGATGGCCAAGATGGTAAAGATGGATATTGTGGTGAAAGTAGTGGAAATGTAATGATATTAGCTGAAGAAATGCAGAATGCTCACAACTTGGCAGTGACTCTGAATGGTGGGGATGGTAGTGGTGGACAAGAGGGAGGTGATGGTGCTAATGGTCAAGATGGTACAGGAACTACAATGAGCGAACTGAATAAAGAATATTCAAATCCCACACCTTGGCTTTTCAACCACAATTTTGCAACATTATTTAATAAAATATCATCTAAAGGAAAAGTGGAAACACGCTGGAAAAAGCATCCAAATCGGTACATTGAAGTAAAATTACACAACGGTCAAAAAATTATTTACTCATTAAGTAGATACGGGGATTTCCAATGTTATCTATTATACAAGGGAAGTAAAGGAGAACAAGGAGGGCGTGGTGGATTGAATGGATTAGGTGGTGGTGGTGGATTCCAAGGTGAATGTTTAGTTGTATCAAAAGAAAATAAATCGTTTCCAGTGCATATTAAAAGTGCGAAGGGTTCGAAAGGACAAAATGCAAAACCTGGTCGGACTGGTGAATATGGTAAGAATGGATGGGATGTTGGGTATACAGACTGCCAGTATTGGGGACGAGCCCACGAATTCGGTACAGGTCACAATCAGCGATTGTCTATGAATTATTCAGCCAGTAGTTCTGATCGAGTTTACTGTGGATATCGTTATGACGTGCTCGGATCCTCAGCATGTTACGCAACTATTAACGCGTCGGTGCTGGAACATCGCAAACTAACTGACAGCGAGAAATTACGCGAAACACGTAAAGAAGGTGAACGACGTAAAAAAGCTGTAGCAACTCTCAAAAATTTTATGCTACAAAAGGCTATGGAGAAAACGTATGGTAAATATTTTGAAACGGGTGATTGTCTGATGAATACTGTAGCGGAAATGCGCGCCGAGAATATGATGAACTTCAATATGATGCACCGAAAAGCGAAGAAAGCATTCGAAGAAGTCGAATCGCTCAAAGAACGTTCACGTGAAAAAGTTAGCCGATATCGAATCTATGAAGTAACCAAGAAAGACAAAGCTGTACGTAAGCAAAATGTGAAAATTAGCAGTGCTGGTCGAACGGAAAAAAATTAGATATTATTGCAAATATAGAAAATAATCCGGATGATGCTTCTGTTTGGATAAAGTTATGTGACGAAGAATTCTCAATTGATGAATTAAGAAAAGTAGAGCGTCATTTTAATAATTTTCAAACTCAACAAAAAATCGACAGAGCTGAAATCACATGGATTCCGCGAAAATTTGGACTTGCCAGATTTTGCGGCATTATCAATGATGCGTATCAGTTAGAAATCAATCAGAACAAGAACCTAAATAATGATTTCAACAGCGAAAAATATTTGAAAATTTCAGAGCAATCATATTCAGATTTAGAATGGCTTCGTGAATTTCAAGATGAAACTCTGCAAAACAGAAACATCGAAGATACTTTTCATGATCTTTGTCAATATCAATTGTCTACCTCCGACTTGAATATTGTCGAAACAAATTATAAAAAGCTTGTTTCTATTAAAATTGGCACTGAAACACTGGAAGAATTTCTAAACAGCTGGCAAACCGACGACAATCAATCATTTGCAAAACTGTCCACACTGAAAGGAAACAAAACCGAATGGGGAAAAGTTTTAGAAGTATTTGATAGTTTTAGAAAAACTAACCTGACATCTGAAGCATTGAAAAAAAGTGTACCTCTATACGATGAAAAAGAACTGAAGAATGACAATGGTTTACTGAAATATTTATTCGATCTTTGGAATAGTTTGTACACTTTAAAAACTACCAATACTACACTGGCAAAAATGATCGAGTGGCTCATTATCGAAAACGACAAGTGCAAAAATCCGCCTTCTCAAATTCAGGAATATTTGAAACTAGAAAAAAAATTCATGGATGCGAAATCAAACTCATTGAATAACCTTCTTCTAGCAATTCAATGTTTATCGCATCGATTACCAAAAGCAAGTTGGCAGCATTCCTATGAATATCCTAATTTTTTTCTACCTAAAAAAACTCAAAACATTTCAGAAGATATGCAACATATTGACAATAAATTACTAGAAAAACTATACAATATTTACACAAATAAGCAAAATGAAACAATCGATTGGCATAAAAAAATTGACAAAATCTTATTGGATATTTGTTTAAAACAAATGCTTTCAAATAAAACAATTGCATACGCACCTCTTCTAGAATTAATTGCTTGGAAACACGGATTGAATATTCGTACCTATCAAAAGACTAATTATGCACAATTGGTTTGTAATCGTGAACATTTTGTTTGTGGTAAACAGATTGTCCATATTTTGATTAGTGATGATCAAAGGATTGAGAATCTAGTAGTTGATCAAGAATTCGTTAAACTAGATCTTACGCGACAAAATTTGGTTTCAGAGTTTCAGTCGAAAAGACTCAACAAAAACTATCTTTTACCCGACGAAAATGAATATACGGATGATAAACTTGTTATCTATAAGCTATGCCAATATTTCAATGAAGATGATCAAGATGAATTGGAATCGCGGCTTGAAAAGTTAGCAACGAATTGTACAGGAAAGAATTCAATTCTATCATCTTTACTTCATTGTTTTCAATGCAATGGTTGTCATCTTCAGTCAAACGAAATGATGGTCTTTGTTAATACTATTCTCGAATGTTGGACTGTTTTCGATATCAATCCCAACTTATTTGACTATATCATTCTTTCTCGTAGTCAATCTCAACTTGTGGATGAACTAATTTTAATTAAACTTGAAAATTTAATGCGAAAGATATTACGCGATAAAGAAAAGTTGCGAAATCTTTTAAGGCAAATCACGGACACATCAGTTAAAGCTCTGATCTTACAAAAGTTGCACGAATCTCAATTAAATATTCACGAAGAAAGTTTTTCGAATATGCTAAATTTATTACCATACATTAAAAATAATACAATTTTATTGAAACAATTAGATCTATCCGAGTGGTCATTAACACTTCAAGAAACCTATTGGCAACATGTTTTAAGCAATGGTGGATTGGGTTTTACAGATGAAAATCTTGAACAGTGCGCTTTCTATTTAGTCAAACTAGACAGTTTGTATGGAAATGAACTCGTTAAACATGTCATAAATGTTATCAAAGAAGCAACACTTTTTTCGGCTGAAACTTTATCAATATTTGTGCATCGTTTTTATGCTGAAGACATGGAATTATGTGGAGATATTTTGGATGATTTCGGTGTTCTTAATTTCAAATTATCGAATTTATTCGAAAAATCAAACAAGCGTTATAGTGGCCAAGAATTACTCGAGTTATGCCAACAAAAAGCCGATATAGTAACAAAGGATTTAAGTCAAATTCAAGATCTTATGACAAAGCTAGGTCTTTCGGAGTCCAACAATCGTGATATCGATCGACTCGTACAAATGATTACGAAGTCACATGAAGATGATAATGTTTTCAAACATCTATCGAAAATTCGAGATCTTCTTAAACGAACAGCTGATGGTGAAAATCTTGTTTTGAAATATATCGTTGATGTTATCAATCGAAACGATAAAACGATTGATACCGAGAATACCGGTTCTAAAATTTTAACCTGCAAGACATGTTGTCACAATGAAAAGGATCTCAAACGAATTATCAATGCAATACGATCAAATATTGAAGAAGTCAAACACATTGAAAATTGTAATTACTACATTCTTCATATTGTTAATCAATGTATACTATTGAAACGGCATTTCAGTCTTAGAGATACGCAAAAATTAGTTGTTATGTTAATGTTATCCAACCAAAGAAGTTTACTATCACAAGTCGCCACTGGTGAAGGAAAAACATTAATTATAACGACTTTATGCATAATTAAATGTCTATATGGAGAAAAATTAGATATTGTAACCAGTTGTTCGGTATTAGCAAAACGCGATGCTGAATCGGAACCACCGAAAGGTAACAAAGATTTATATGAATTTTTCGGTGTCACTGTTGGACACATTTGCAGTGAAGATATCGATCATCGAGCACAAACATTCAATAGATGTGATGTTGTCTACGGCGATTTATCGAGTTTTCAACGAGACTATTTATTGGATCGATTTTATGGAAAAAATATTCTAGGTAAACGTAACTTTGAAAATGTCATCGTCGATGAAGTCGATAGTATGCTTTTGGATAATGGAAATAATATGCTCTATTTATCGCATGATATTCGAAATATGGAAAAACTACAGTCGCTGTTCATTTTCATTTGGAAAAGTGTAAACCAACCGGCTAATTCCTCGGATGACTTCAATAAAATCTATGGCAATGCAGCTATTAAACAATCGATTATTGAGGATATTCACGGTATGATTATGCGTGACGAAGTTGATGCTGATGTTTGGCAAGCGTTACTGAAATCGAAAACGATCGGTGAAGATGGACGAATTCTTATCCATTTAAAAGATTATACAGCACATGTTAAACAACTTCAATTTCCAAAGCAAAAAACTGAAAATCGACTGATCTTTCTATTGAATATTATATCAAATCGTCAACGATTTATCAAATTACCGTCTGAACTTTATAATTTCATCGAACAACATTTGGATAAGTTCATTGACAATGCGAAAAATGCGCTATTTATGAGTGAAGGAGTCGATTATGTGATAGATGTAGATCGAACAGGCTTAGATCCCGATCCCAATCCGAAAATTATTATCATTGATAAAAATACAGGAACTGATCAGAGCAGTTCACAATGGCACGAAGGATTGCATCAATTTCTACAAATAAAACACGGTTGCAAACTCTCATTGATGAGTTTAAAAGCTGTTTTCATTTCTAATGTCTCTTATTTGAAACTCTATCAAAACCTCTATGGACTTTCGGGTACGTTGGGTTCGCGAGACGAAAAGAAACTACTTAATGAACTTTACAATATCGATTTAATTAAAGTTCCGACTTCAAAACCGAAAAATTTCTTCGAAGAGAGACCAATTATATCTGGCTATAAGAATCAATGGACAGATAGTATTTATGATGAAACTAAAAAGAAAATAATTAAACATCGATCAGTACTAATTATTTGTGAAACAGTCAAGGACGTCGATTATATATCAAAATACCTTGTAAAACGTGCAATGGAAGATTTGCAATATGATCCGAACAATTTCATCTATGATAGTTTGAAAAAGCCGTATATTTACAAACGAGAACACGAAGAATTCACTTTTGGACAAGGAAATGAGTTATTGAACTGTGGAACAGTAATTATAGCAACGAATTTAGCTGGTCGTGGTACCGATATTAAACTCGAACAGAAATTAGTCGAAGCCGGTGGATTACATGTTATTGTAACATTCTTGCCAAATAATTGCTGGATTGAAGAGCAAGCCTATGGTCGTGCTGCCCGATGTGGTGAGCATGGCTCCGGTCAACTTATTGTTATCGGCAATGACGAAGATGGTGGATCTTATAGTTCAAAAATATTTCAACTTAAAAATGTCCGCGACGTCTATGAATTACAACGGTTGAAAGCAATCAAGAAATTCTACGATGAAAGAATTACAATTGAAGAGCATTGTTTCAAAAAGTTTCAACAACATTATGAAGAACTTCGTCAGTATTGGACAACGACTGATGATGCAAAAGACATAGAAAAACTTCTACTCGATAGTTTTCTTGAAAAATGGGCATTTTGGTTAGATGAAAATTCACAACTTATTGAAAATCAAGCAAGTCACACATCAAAAAAAGATCAACTTTTTAATCATCTGAACACATTTCTTACACACATTTCGTTTGATTTCACGACATGGCTGAATAGTTCAAGTCAATTATTGAAACTAGGTAATCATTATGCGAAAAATAAAAAATATGATAATGCCGAAGAATGTTTTAACAAGATTATTCGAGAATACTCCTGTTACTTAGCAGAAGCACATTATTATAAGTCATTCGTGACAATAAAACAAAAAACTTCTGCGCTCTTAAAAAAGTCGGGACAACCATTTCGGCAACTTAAAGAAGATCTTCTTCAAAGCCAAACAATTATTCGAAGAAAGAATTAGCAATTGTTCAAATGATCAAGCCATTGTAGAATCATTCAAAAAGAAAGAAGTAAATTCGTTGATTCATATCGAAGCATTCAGTGAACAACAAAAATGTCTTTCGCAGATCTACAATCTATTTATTCATAGTATCGATGATATTTTAGGACATTCAGTTATGAATAATGCATTTGTTAATTTTGAAATCAATGAAATTCTTGCCTATGATATATATATCAAACTGCAAGAGCAAGGTATATTAACAAAACCAACGACAGCTGTGCCTTTTTCGGATGAAGCTTTGATTGATGTTACAATGGAATATGGAATTTTCAAAAGTGCATTAGAAAATTTACGTCATGAATTGAATAATAATAATATTAATGATAGTCAGTCCTTAATTCAAGTTATTGACCTGCCGAATATAGAAGAATTTCGGTCAATGTTAAAAGATCGTGAAGTGCTGACCAATGAAATTGAATTTATTATTGTTAACAAGCAAAAATTAGAATTAGTTGATATGAAAGAAATTACAAGTTTAGTTGAAACATATAAAATGAAGTTTGAATTCGAAAAACTACAGCCGAATGAATTGATTCAATATCCAATTGGAACATGTGAAGAATATATATTTTGTAAAATCGAGCTATATGAAAAGTTGAAGAAATATGATAGAATTTACCTAGAAGATCGATGTATATTGTCAACCAATAGAAGAGCTAAAATCAATCCAAATGAAATAAAAGAAGAGCAAATTTTTGATAAATTTAATTCGATTACTTTATCCGATCTAACAAGTGCGAATATTTCTGCAGACGATAGTATTGCAATTCTTGAAATTCTAAGTCGAAGCGATGATGGCATTTTAGAAGAAATCGCACATGGTAAATATAAATTAAAGGGTCATATTAAGTGTTCATCATTACCAGAGTGTTATCAAGATGTTGTTTCAGCAATTCTAAATTCTAAATTTTCCTATCGATTAACCTATCAACATTTGCAAGAACAATATAATGATATTCAAAAAAATGCTAAATCAGATATCGGTTCAAAATTACAACTTCGACTATCTGCAAAGCCTTATGAACAATTATTTTACGATTTAATCGATCGCGGTATAATCGAAGATGTTAAAATCAATTATGAAAAATTGGAATCGATTGAATTGAAGAATATTTTTGAACAACCGATACAAAGTTAAGCAAAAAATCATCGAAATCTCTCGAAGAACGAAAACATTGAATTTATCAAGAAAACACTGGAACAACTTCGCTGTGGAATTGAAAATGCAACAAAACTTATGTGTTGTTGAAGCATCGTGGTTTTCACTTAATGGATTAGAAAATTTAATCGCTTTAGAAGAACAACGTTATTCATGGAAATTCTGGAGAAATTTTGCCATTGTCGTTGTTCTAGGAGTATCACAAATTGTTGCTGGTGCAGTATTGGAAATTTTCACAGCTGGCGTTGGTACTTACACTGCATCATTTTTAATCAATGAAGGTACTATTTTATTTTTATGAAGTTACTTGGATTTTAATGTAGATACTCTATTTCAGGAATTAGCGATCTATTTTTTGCAGCTGGATATTTATTCAATGGCTATATGACAATGTCCAGTTATTGGGAACATAAAAAATGGAGTATGGCAATGAGCGCAGCCACCTGTATGATTGGTGGTATTCTGGCTCGTGGTAAGACGGTGTCACGGATCGGTTATAAAGTTGCAGGTCCAGTTCGTACTGAAGGCGGTAAAAAGATTGCACAAATGGTTGGTAAAGAACTTATTCAAAATGTTGGAGCAAAAACAGTCGCCAAAGAGACAATGAAACGAGTTGGGTGTAAATTGATCGAAGGAGTCGCGTTTGGTGCTGCACAAGGCGCTATTGATCATGTAAGTTGTTTTATCCTTAGAAATACACGTTTCAGGTTTCGAAATAGTATCAACCTGAATTTAGTTGCAACGTTCTTATTTCATATGAAAATTGACATTTATTGTTGTCTTACTATTCCTTCGGTTTCGTAGTTGATCTTACTTTTGTTTAACATAGCAGAACTAAGATGAGTTTGGACTTATAAAGAGATAAGTACGAAATTTAATTCATAGTCCAATTCCATGTTCTAGTTTAAACCCATAATATAATTACTTAACAATTATTAGCAATACTATGCGAGTACTAAACTATTGTATTGAAAACTTTCTCTATTCAGATATTCATATAACTATGAAATATGTTAACGTGTTTGCTTTTAAAATTATATTTCTATGACTTTAGGTCGTTACCAATTATCTAAATGGTGTCTGTGACGCTATTCAGAAAATGATTACTAGTGATCTAGACGCTCTCTTTCAACAACATCAACTGAATGAGACCGTGTCTGAGGCTTTCAAGACACTCGGCGAAGATCAAGCACGCTTACGTATGGAGCAAGTAACACGTGAATGTTTTGAAGGTCAGTCCATGCTACAGACAATGTATACTTGGTGCAAACGAATTTACGGAGTAGTTTCACGTGGTATAGGTGAAGCCATGCGAAAGATTGGAAAGGTTGACTCAGCAAAAGCAGTAAAAACGGCTCTTTTATTTCTGAAAGGCTTACAATTTGCATCATTAGTTGAAGGTGTCACGACTGAAATGATTAAAGTAAAATTGTCGGCTGGGCAATTCCTTGACAAAGCTACAAAAATCGTCCAAGAAGGAATTGATGAAAAAAAGCCATCGGAATATGTAAAGGCAAGTCCACCTAATAATGTTAGAATCCTTTGTGAACAAACAACCCAAAATTGGAAGCAAATATTCGTCGAGACCTCCAATCAAGCGATTGCCAATCAAATAGTTGCACCTGTCTTATCGTTTGGTGCCAATAAATTACTTAGTCTTATTGGTGATGCAATAAAAAAGAAATACCGATCAATGAAAGAAGAAAAATATCAAAAGCAATTTGATTCACTCAAAAAAGATTTTGATAATAAAATGAAAGATGAACAAATCGATTCAGATGAGTATGAAAAAGAACTCCAAGCTTATCATGATACTCTAATGAAAGTATTGGCTAAAACAAGAAATCCAATATTGTTCGCTAATATTCTACGTGAAAATGTACCCATGGATATGGTATGTGTTCAGGCATGTACATATTTGATACATAAGTATATGAGTGAAATGAACATTATCGAAGATGGAAAAAAATTTACTGGTATTCGTATTGTTGTTGAAGGTCAAGATGGTTCGTCGCACGAGTATTCCAGCTCATCGAATCCATCGCATTCAATAAATATTGAACTTGACAATAATCATTTTGTTGTGGATGGACAAAGCGATGGCAATACTGAAACATCAAAAAATAATTGTCTCTACAAAGCACTCGTCAATAAATTTCCTGCAATGAAAAATGCATTTGCCGATGGTGGAATTTTTCGACAAAATTTATCAAGTTACATTGAAAATGATAAGTTTATGTATCATACTATTGCTCAAGGTTGGCATAAATTCTCAATCCAAAAAGGCAGTTTCGGCGGTGCAATTAATGAAGAAAAGTTTAATCAGCAAAGTCTTTATAATCAACTTCTAGAAAGAACTGAAGAAGCTAAAAACAATCTCATCAGAAAGTATCCTAATTTGCCCGATCGAGTTCGTCAAAGGTTTTGTCAATCCATCGAAACTATAAAGAAAATTGCACAAGAAGAAGGTAGCATCGTTGAAGCTCGTAAGCGAATTGAGAAAATCACCGAAGATTTCAGCAAGTATCTAACAAAAGAATTATCTGGTGACAGACACCGCGATCCACGAACAGATTTCAAAAAAGCTCTGTCGGATTTTGGCAATCGTGTCAATCAAACATTGGCCACCACATACACAAATACTTTGCAAAATTTTCAATCAAAAGCCGAACTAGCAAAAACATCAAAAAATCATCCCTTTTCTGTTCATCCTGCTGATAAGGCCAATTTTGCACAAGATGATAGTAGATTAAAAGATCCAGATATCATCGCAAGTGTTGTTCATGAAGATATTAACAAAGCATTGCCCGAAGATGTTCGGCGATTCAATACCGTTGCTGTATGTATTCACAATAAAACTCTCTATATAGCGATGAATCAGATTCAGACAATAAATGGTCAACAGAGTTATGGCATCAGCGATGAAAGATGCAATCAAATACGTGATTTATTAGTTTCAAAAAATCTAGTTTCAGGACGTGAAGAAATCGTTTTTTTAGCACCAAATGCGATGCCAAGAAATCAGGCCGAATGTCGAGGTCCACATGCCGAAATGCAAATTATGAAATTTTTGAAAGGTAACGGATTCTTGCAAGGCAATCAAACAAGAGATCAAAACAAACCAATTCAAATAGGAGCCTCAAAACCGGCATGCGTATGCTGTAGTACAGAAATGACTACTAATAATATTCATCATAAAACCTATGCAAATGCAAACACAAATCCAGTGAATTGGTGCAACTCCACAGTGATTAATGTCAAAGTACAAAGAAGACTCAGCGTACCAAATTATAGAAAATGAGTCTCGGCTTATTTGATATCAAAGTCGAAATTTTAAAATCTACTTTGACATTTAAATAGACATCGCTTGAATATTATTTTGCTACGTAACATAAATGCTTTCTACTAAGTAGACATAAAAATAAAACTTCTAGTTTAAATATTTTAAAATCTTTTATTTGGTGAGAGGAGCTGCCTAAGAACTAACAGTGTATGCACCATTTGAACATGAAAAGCATTTAATTTTCTTGTCTTATTTTGTAAGGTGTAGATGACGGTGTTGATTGATGGTTGTAAGAGTTTTTCTAAATCAACTTATACTTCCACCCATACCTTAATTTGTTCATTTATGATAGCATAAAGTAAAAGCTTTATGTCATTAGGATGGTGGTGGAGCCCATCGTTTGCTTGAACTATTGTGAGGAAAAAGAAACCATGGAGGAAAATAATGTTCTTTGATACAATTCTGAAATGGTACTGGGTAATTAAGATCGTGTACGACATTACCACCAGCTAACCATGCTGTCCACCAACTGTAGGTTCCTGCTGTCAAAATAGAGTGTTCAGCTAAAGCCAATGCAGCCAAGTCATGACCTTGAAAAAATATTGATGGCGTTATAAAAACATCAGAGAAATTGCCCAAATGTTGTTTAACATAACTTTTGTCGTCGGATGCAATTAAAAAACGGCAATTAACATATCTTTGACGGTAATAATTGATTGCCCAATTGAGATACGAAGTACTTGTGTCAATTTTGAAGAAGGTTAAAAAGTCACCACGACGAATATGTACCCCTATCCACGTTACGCGTTGCAGGGTGGAAGGTGGATGTTGTAAAAATGATTTTAGTGTATCATGTGTTACTCGACTATTGTTAGCGTAGAAATTGACAGAATAGTTCCATACAGCTGAATAAACAATAAACAAATTGTTTAAGATAGTTAGAAAATGTTACTGTGACGGATTTTTTCTATCTTAGGGATGCCTGCCGAATGAAGAACATTCTATAATTATTTGGTTTTTTTTGTAAAGACCATTTTGAAATTTGACTCGAAACCTATTTCAAACGATGATTGGCGAAAGTTGTTCTCGAAAATGCATGTAATGTAGAGTAATATGTAGTTTGATTTGATGTTAAATTTCCAAGACTCGAATAGAATTTCTGACTGTAAAATATTTTATTTCGTATAAGACAATATACAGGAATATAACTGATGAGCAGGTCACGCTATACTTTTTCTGAATTTACTCCCATGTTTTATTCGCATCAATTTTGATGGAGTATTTTTCTATTAATAGAAAATCAGCTATTTGTCAGAGTCTAAACAGTGTGCCACTTAAAACAACATCCTGACACGCTATGTTTGAGACTTGATCTCTATCTTTTTCGAAACTAATCTTATATTTGGAATCTGTGAAAAATTCAGTTGGATTATGTATATTTTACTGTTTTTTCTTTAAATTTCTTTTCAGTAACGTATGTTCATCCTTGACTTTCCTCAGGGACATATCAACATTGAATTGAATCAAAAAAAAATGTTTTGAATAGTGTAAAGATAGCTTTCACCTTGTAACATACTACTGGAAGTTGAAAACTCGTTTGTTTACAGAATAAAATAAGCACTTTGATTGAATTCATTTTTTTGAAACTGATTGTAAATATGTTATCAGTTTGAAGTTAAATAATGATTCCAACATCCGGAATTCATCAAATTTCAGTTAAAGAAGCCACTAATAATATCTCAAGAATAGTGTGTATATGAGTTCTTTGAGTGAGTCATTCTTTCTACATGTGAATAAACTTAAGAGAATATTTCGTTAACATTTGTAACACTGATTCATACAACAAGCTATGGGAATGCAGTCTAAAAAAAACGACTAATCAGAGTAGCTTTCAATCACCCTTTATCTTTCGCTGTTCTCTCTTTCAAATGAATAGTCATACTAAGGATCAGTTTCAATGACTAATTATCCATTTAGTATGCGGTGAAAAATAGATAGATAAATCGCGTTCTACGACTTACATTTGATCATTTCTTCCACGAATGGAGTAATAAGTTTAACTGTGTCGCTGTTAAATTCGAACAACTGATCAATCTCTTTGCGGAAGCGATCAAAATAACCGAAAGCTTGATAAAAACCTACGAGCTCATATCGGGTATAATTTTGTGGTAAAGGTATTTTGAATAGGTCGCCAAATAATGTACACGCACTATATCGTCGAAAAATGTCAGTTCGATTTTCAAATTCTGCCAGATTATGCAATATATTGACTGGAGTTTGATTTAGATTGATTTTAAACGTCGTTCGGAGGTCAACAATGATCCAAGGGTGTACATAAAGATGACAGGCATGAAGACGAGCTAAGCCATAAGCACTAGCAAAAAGAAACATTCGATTACCGAATGCCCCATCTGAATATCGAATTCCAAAAACGCATGTAACCTTT